GGCCATCAAGGGTAGTGTACTAGCTGATCATCTGGCTCATTAACCATTTCCAGAATATCAACCAATGAAGTTCGACTTTCCAAACAAAGATATCATGGTTATAAGTGAGTACGAAATACCAGGACCTCACGAAGGACCTGAACCAGGGGCACGTTGGACGCTCATGTTTGACGGTTCTTCAAACACACTAGGGGATGATATTAGGGCAGTTTTGACTTCTCTGAAGAATTTTCACAAACCTTATACTGCAAGGTTATGTTTTGATTGCACCAATAATATTGCTGAATATGAAGCTTGTACCTTGGGACTAGAAGCTGCTATTGATCTAAGAATTAAGCACCTTGAGATGTATGGAGACTCAACATTAGTTATATACCAATTCAACGATGAATGGGACACTAAAAATCCCAAATTGATTCCATATCGGGATCATATTTTAAATCTAGCCACAAAATTTACTGAAATTACCTTCAATCAAATTCCACGAGAAGAAAATCAGATGGCAGACGCCTAGGCAACTTTATCAGCCTTGTTCAAAGTGACCTGGCCAAATCATGAATCACACATTATAATTATACATTTTGAAGAACCTGCACATTTCCTTTCCATTGAACAAGGACCAGATAACAAGCCTTGGTTCTATGACATCAAAAGGTGTCTCGAGAAACAAGAATATCCAGAAAATGCCTCTATAATTGACAAGCGAAATCTGCGGAAGCTAGCTTCAAAGTTCTTTATAAATTTTAATGTATTATAAAAAATAAACTACGATATGGTATTACTCGGGTGTGTGGAGAAACATGAAGCAGATACCCTTATGAAAGAAATCCATGAACGCACTTTTGGAACTCATACAAATGGACATGCCATGGCTAGAAAAAACATACGAGCAGATTATCATGTGTTAATGATGGAATCGGATTGCTATCATTATACAAATACATGTCACAAATTCCAAATCTACACCGATAAAATGCATGTTCCATTGACTCCTTTGAATGTCCTAAGTTCTCCTTGGCTATTTTCAATGTGGGGAATTGATATGATAGGAATGATCAAACCGAAAGCCTCTAACAGAAACCTGTTCATACTAGTTGCCATCGACTACTTCACCAAATGGGTGGAAGCCACGTCCTACGCAAATGTGACAAAACAAGTGGTTACTTGGTTCATCAAGCATAATCTTATATGCAGATATGAGGTTTCTAGCAGGATCATTACAGATATCGAGTCCAATTTGAACAACAAAATGATGAAGGAGTTATGCGATAACTTCAAGATCGAGCATCATAACTCTTCACCTTATCGACCCAAGATGAACGGGGCCGTTGAAGTTGCCAATAAGCACATCAAGAAAATCATTTAGAAAATGGTGAAGACATACAAAGATTGGCATGAAATTCTCCCCTTTGCTCTACATGGCTATCATACTTCTGTACGTACGTCAACAGGTGCAACTTCTTTCTCTCTCGTATATGGCATGAAGGCAATACTCCCTGTTGAAGTAGAGATTCCATCATTATAGGTTATAATGGAAATAAAGCTTGAATAAGTAGAGTGGGTTCAGATGCGACTTGATCAACTTAACCTCATTGAATAAAAATGCTTGACAGCTTTGTGCCACGCTCTGTTGTACCAAAAAAGGATGAAGAAAGCATTAACAAGAAGTTTCACCCTCAAGTGTTCAAAGAAGGAGATTTGGTGCTCAAGAAAATTCTACTACATCGTTTTAATTCACGTGGTAAATGGAAACCCAACTACGAAGGTCCGTACGTGGTAAAAACATCATTCTCAGGTGGCGGTCTTATCCTCACAACAATGGATGGAGAAGAATTACCACATCTGACAAACTATGACACAATAAAAAATACTATGTATAAAAGAGCTCGCTAAGTTCGAACCCTAAACGGGAGGCTTAGGAAAAAAGGAGCGTCCCGATGGATTGAAAATCCTAAATGGAGATTCAAGCAAAAATTAGGGACATAAACAAAAAATTATCCCGATGGATTGAAAACCCGAAAGGGCGGTACAGGCAAAAGTTAGAGATCTTACTCGGAAATCTAGAACAAAAAGACTGCAATCTAAGAACCACGACTACGAAGGAGATGGGTTAATCTAAATCATGTGACTTAGAAGCAAAGGAGATTGGAGCTATCAAAAGGACATTGGAGAAGTAGCAGTAGCAATTATCATTTTCATTGCCATTTTCAATTTTTGTTAAACTTTCTGTAATTACCTCTTTCAAGGAATTTTATCTTGTACTCTTGCTTATTGAAAGGCATGTTTATCGATACAACATTTACTTTTTCAATCTTTTCAAGTTCTGTTTTTCTCTTTTTAGACTTGTTCGCAAAATACTACGATTATTTCTTATGAATACTATGTTGAAATCACTTTGGGGATTTGACAAATAAAAGCATTTGATCAAACATCAAAAGAAAATCCACGACTACATCCACGTATGCGATCATAGCCATATCCACACCCACGTCCACGTCTACGTCTATGTCCACGTCTACGTCCATGCCTACATCTGCGCCTGCAATACAGATACCAAAATCTTGCTAACACTTATTCATCTTGTTCAAAATGACTCAAAGACACCATGACAACACAACACACAATGTTGGAGAGTCAATGACCTAAAACCAATGGTTTAAAATGAGAGAGCATTAAAAAAAATTTACAATAAGAATTTGGGGCATATACAAACATTCACATTTTGGGGCATATACAAAATACTCAGTGCATATACATTTTGGGTTCCATACCAACTTAGGGAATTATGCATCATACATGGCATTTTTCAAATACATTTTGGTTAAATCATGAACTTTCTTAGAGATCATCATTGGATTATCTGGTCTACAAAACAAACAAGTAACTTGGTTGAGAACAGACACAACCGATAAACTCCAATCTTATCTTAGGTATAGTTATCTAAGATTTGATTACCAAAACATTTTTCAAGTATCTATCCTCTAGGTTGTGGTAGGTATGCGAATTTTCAGGATCACATTATTTATCCTCTAGGTCGTGATAAGTACGTAAGACTACCCCCGTGTCGTTCATCATTTGGTGTAAATAATAAATAAATAAAAATTAAAAAAAAAAAAACTAGAAAATTATAGGGAGGCCTCATATTGAAGATTTAATCATCATCCAAAAATAAAGATCGTAGATAATATTTATGAAAGAAAAGATTGAAAATTGTTGATGTGTAGTGTAAGGGTGAATTGTGAAATTTTTGGATTCAAGACAAAAACAAAAAAACAAAGTGAATATCGTGAGCGGTAAATCATAGAATTTGTGAATGTTGTCGATGTGTAAAAATTGATGTGAAAGAGTGCAATTGTGGATGTCCCCAAAAGTGTGAAAAATATGTCCTATTTATAGATGGATTCTAGGGTTTGCAATAAAGTCTGATCCATCTATTTTAAGCAAGATTTTTAGAGATTGGGATGTGATTCAAGTCTTGTTAAGTCAGACAATGAATCTGAAAGGAAATGTGACCAGGTGCAAGATTCGATATGGAGAGATTGTGATTTGGAATAATATCTTTTCTATTTTTAGATTTTATCTATTTTGTGCATAAAAATAAAGATTTTAAAATATAAAATTAATTTTAAAATACTCCTAAAATAGAAAACGAAAATAATAATTAAATAATAAAAAATACTGTTTTTTTTTGTGATTTTTGGATAAAAAGGGTTAGTAGAAAATAAAAGAAAAAAAATACAAAAAAAGTGACGAAGGTGGGATTTGAACTCATGATCTTATACACTCACAACTCCTCATATATACTCTGCCAATTATGCTACTCCATTCATTTTTTATATTTTAGAGAAAAACACTAATACTCTAAAACAAACTATTACATGAGTAAAAAATAAAATAAACATATTTTAACCTAAACAGATAATTTAAAAACAAGCTAGTTAGTATTTTTTAATAAGCTAAAAATAAATCAATATTAAAGTTAGACGTTAGTAAAAAAATATAAAAACCCAATTTTGAAATAATTTGACTGTTCGAAATGGGACGAGCAAACTTGGGGTATGACACAGTCTGTTGAACTAGTTCAAAGATTACAAAGGCAGAGGAGCACAATATTATGAATGTGAAGGATTTGGTCACATAAAAATTGAATGTCCAACTTTTTTAAAGAATCAGAAAAGGGGATTGTCAATCCCCGGGTCTGAATTTGACGATGAAGAAGAAATAGCTAATAAAGTAATGACTTTCACTGGTAAGTATGACTCATGTAGTGAGTCTAGTGTTGAAGAAATCTCAACAAAAGAATTTGCTGAAACATATAAAGATCTGCTCAATGAATGGAAGGAATCTTTCTTGAGAGAAGAGAAACAAAAGAAGACTATAAGTGCTATACTCTTGGAAAACGAGAAGCAAAGCCGAACCATTACATATCTAAAAGAGGAAGTCACTTTGTTAAAATCCAATCTAGACGATATGACAAAAATAGTTCCTATGTTGAACAAAGGGTATGACATACTAGATGAAATATTGGAAGTTGGAAAAATGTCCAAAAACATGAAGGGAATTGGGTTTGACCCCAGGATCAATAGCAAGAAGGACACATCTCAACCTAAGAAGTTTATTCTGCATGAAAACAAAACTGATTTCCATATGGTGGACCACATGTTTCATCATCCTAAACGACATTTATTCATGTAATGGAAAGAAAAAGAACTCCAATAGAAAATGTCATCATTGTGGTACATATGGACATACAAGGCCTTATTCTTTCGCTCTTCTGAACTTGAAGATTATAGGATTCAAAGAAGTACAAGCTAAGAAGAAGTTTAAGTCTAATATTATATCAACTAGTTCCCTGACTGATACAAATCAGAGTCTCCTTAAGTAAAGGTTGGTATTATGCCAGGTTCGTGGCTAGAGAGAAGGCAAAGCATGGCAATAGATCAAAGGAGAGAATTAGGGGCTCTAGAAAATTGTGTAGTCCTGGTCAAGAAGAGGTTAAAATGGGAAAAGGCTTGAATATAAACGTGAACCAAAAGGAGAATAGTAACTTCAACAATTTCAAGGGTGGTGTAACCAACAAGGGAAAAAGTTCTTATAGAGAAGGTCATATATGAGGAAGACTTCAGGGGTTTGAAAGTCCTCAGGTTTGATAAAGCTAACATGGAGAGTCAAACTAAGATGTTTGAATAGATGTTCCAACATCTGTCTCAAGAGTCTAAATCATCTCTTAAGAATAATTTTAGACTTAAGCAATAAGGTATCATTATATGGAAGGCTGATGGTCAGTTTAGAGATCCTCCCAACTTTGAACAACATACTTTGGTTCTAAATAAGAAGGCAAAGAAGAAGTGTGGTTATGACTCAAGACTGGTTAATAAAGCTGGAAGTGGTGGATTGAAGTATAGCTACAAGATTGGAGTAAGAATAAGGTTCAAATCAGGTTTAGGTCTATGATATATCATCATGATGAATATTCCCATGGAACAAACTTGAGAAATTCTGATAATGATAAGGATGTGGCAGACATTTGATATGCCATAACGACAAATCCTTAAGGACATAAGGAGAATGAAGATCATGTACATTAAGATGCTAAAGTTGATAGTGCTATAGCTAATGGCGTTGTTAACAACCATGATGATGTAATAGGAGATGTGAAGACTCTAGGTGAAGATGTGAATGAGATCTATTGTACTACTAATGGAGAGGAGTATAGTGTGGTTTCAAGTGATATGGCTCCTAAAATTAATGCAAGTGTTGATTTCATTAGGATGATAGATGATAAAAGTGCCTCTCTTAATTGGTAATTGAATGTTGAAACTGAAGACTTTCCTTGTGCTAATAGAATGAAGAGAACTCATGAAGAAGATCATGTAGTGAAGGTAAATGACATCATTGATAATGATGTATGTGCTCATGAAGAATCTATCTATGTGAATAATGGAGTTCGTGCCGAGTTTGTACAAGCTATTGAATATGTTGATCCTTGTATACATATGCTGAAGAATAAGGATTTAGAGTAGATAGCTACTGAAAGATAGAATCTAAAAAAAAGCTCTAACAAATGAAGAAAATGATTAGGAAATGGAAATTATCAGTTGTGTCATTATGGATGTCAACAACTTGAAGAGTGATAGTACGGGAGACAATAAGTAAGTGATAATTCTCACTCTAAGAGAAGACATTGTGTAATATAAAATGTCAGTCGAGGCTCTAGAGCATGTTGTTCAACAAGTATAATTTAAGTCTGAAACAAGAATATTGTTGAAGGGTGACCAAATGATCAAAGAAAGAAATATAAATGTCATAATAGATGTGTCAGACATTTGGGTGACATGTAAGTGGCTGAGACCATAGATCATAGGAAGAAATGAATACTACCTATGTTAATTATGAGGAATATGGAGAGATTAAACAATAATTAAATGATGATGAATATATCTTGGACATCATACAGATGCATCTCCAGGATAGTAAGTCTCTTAGATGTGAGGAAAGGTTACTAAATAAGAAAAATGCGTGTAACAAGAAAATAAAGGGTGAAAGGAAACTGTTTAATGCTCCATTGGAGAATGTTGTAGTCAAGGTAAATTTTTTGGTTGAAAAATCTAGAAGTGCACTTGGTGCATGGATATGTGAGAATCTATAACAATCAATGCTGGGGAGTGGTGCCAAAAGAGAAAAAGTGTTTCTCTTCCCTAAGACCACTTTTCACTTAAAACAAGGAAAATTCTTTTATTTTATAAGATATGTTACAACTTGGGTGTCGTTACAAATAAGAAAAACCTTCTTTATAATTCATAATTCCCTTATATTTAGGATCAAACTCTGATTATTCAAGCCCATCCTCATAACATGAATAAAAAATCTGGAGACTCGAGTGGGAACATCCCCGTCAAGGAAAGTGAAGTCCCTAAGGATGTTAGGGATATGTTGGAATCTTGGTTAAGAAAAGCCAAGTAAGTGGGAGAATTTGGGAATAACATCACCATAGTTGAATCTTCTGAAGGCACCAAGATGATTAGGTTTACAAACATGAATCCTGAGAAGATTAGATGGATAAAAGTTGTTGTTGTAGTGGTTGTGGAGTCAAGTGATTCAAGTGGTTCAGATTAAAATGAAGACATCTTGCGTTGACTATTAATCTAAGGAGCTAGAGTGTGGAGACTTCTACAAATTGATGTCTAGAAGTGAAGTTTTCCCTTCAACTCAATTGTTCTTATTATTTTGTAAGGGATCTATAGCCTCTTGAGACTGGGTTACGTAATAATGTATGCATATTTGATGTTAATCTGGTGAACTCTTTTCTCATGTTTTAGTTGTGTATGTACTAACATACTAACCTTGCATGACTGACCTTGTGCATGCCATCCTCTTTGCATGCTGACTTCTTTGAAGAACTAACCCTTTGCTAAATTATGGCAAAAAGGGGGAGTAATGAGGAGAATAAGAAATGGTGTATCTATTGTGTATAGGTAAACCTGGTGATTGTTTAGTAATGACTATACTAATGATTACTAATATAGTGCTCCATGCTGAAGCATCGGGCAAGAATCTGGCCCTTGTATTTGTGCAAACAGATCTGAAAGTTAGTTTACTTGTGTTAGTAGATTTTTAATATCCTAATATTTAACTACTAACTGTTTGTGTTGTGCATGACTAAGTCTGTGGATAATTGCATACTAATGATTGTTAGTTAGTAGGATTGTATGCTACTAACTATGTGCTAATTAGATAAATGAATGACTAAGTCTATGAACGATTGCATGTTGGCTTGTATGTTTGGTTTGGATAAACTGGATGGATTATATGTAAGCATATGATCTTGATGCTTTTGACTGCTGCTAGTATTATGCTTAAACTCTGATAAAATTGGAAGGATGCTGCTATAACTTACTTAATGCTTTGGTGAAGACCAGTGTTGCTACTGGTTGATGAAGGCTAGTCATTCTACTGGTTGTCACCTATTATGATCTGAACAATGTGATATGCCTTGAAGATTTGAACAAAGTGTTATATCTTAAAGAGTTGTTTTGACATAATTTTCCAAAGAGGGAGATTGAAGTTCTTTGTGAAATAGTTCTTTTGATTGGCTGTATTTTGCAAAACAACAACATGGAGAAGAGTTCAAAGTGTTCAAGTTGATCTAGCTTGCTAAAGTTGTATGGAGGTGAAGAATAGACACATGTTGGACACGATATCCCAGCATGTGGCTACGACATATGGGCCTTGTGCATCAAAACTATGCTAATTCATTTGGGAAGATTCTATGATCAAAGATTGAATCCGATTTTATTGTTATTGAGTTAACAGTATGATTATACGATTTGCTGGACAATTGTGAAGATCAAATCAAATTTAAAGAGATTTAAATTTGAATTTGTAACAAAGAAAATCTTATCTTTTTGTTGGAGATATTCAAAGAACAAATCAAATATCCAATAGAATCTGCATTATTTCTGGATGAAATAAAATCTCAAACCCATGAAGAAAAGCTCAAAATCTATATTATTTCGGGATGAAATCAAATGTCAAATCAAATATCCAACAAAATATGCATTATTTCTGGACGAAATCAAATTCCTTAGTAGTGATTGTGTGGAAGGCTACAAATAATGCGAAGTTCTTTTGAGATCTTCAGACAGTTCACCGCTCAAGGAATCAGAACCAAAGGCTTGATTGCTACAAAAAAAAGTCTTGGAACGAAATTGGAGATATTGGCAGATCTTTGAAGCGTTGATCCAGTAAATATTGCACAGAAGAGTTTGGCATAAAGTGTATACAAGCCAAGATCCATAATCAAAGACTTATTTTCTTAAACATTACTGTGGACTAGTGGTTGTATAAACTCTTTGAATATTTGTCAAAATAATGTAATAATGAAGGTTCTGATGGGAAACCATTGAAAAGTGCATGTAGAATCATGCGAGGATGATAGAGTTGAAGCACTATAAAAATCGATGTCATCTCTCTACATTTTACTCTTGCATTTAAATTTTGTAGTTTATTGCATGTCCAGGTTTTCCATTCATAAAGTAGTTTATCGTTTATTGTATTTATAGAGATTTATTGATTAAGATTAGGTTTTGTTGGAATAGGGATCTAACCGAGCTTTAGTGGTGATTAAAATCTGAGGAACTTGTTGAGTTTATAATTCACAAATTGAATTATTATATAATCATTTCTCTTGAATTATACTACTGGTATCGATTCAATACCTTGTGTATCATCATTAATTCAACTTGTGATATTTGTACATTGATTAACTATTTACATGATTTAATTTATATTCAAGTATAATTCACTCTATTTTTCTCTAAAATACTTTGACATGCATACTCTGAAAACTTATGATAATTCTACTTTGAAGAATCGGTTTAGATTTATTTTGAAAAGTCGATTCACCCCTCTCTAGATTGTTTTCTGACACCATATTTTCACCGACAATATGGTTTCACTGAATAGGGTTACTAATTTGCTATGTTATTTATCGTTTTACAAATCCATCAACTTGCACAACTCATAATGTTATATTCGTGTTGTTTCTAGTATAACTTGTCAAACCTGCTGTTGGAGCATCTTGTTCGACATTTGTCCCCCGAAGAACAAAATTTCAGGGAGTAAAAGAACATTTCGGGTAATTCAAGAGTTTTCCTTCCCAGATGCGATCCTTATTTTATAATATGTTCTTATTAGCTTCGTTATGCTCTGATGATAGTAAACATATTATATTTATAGGTAATATGGCTTATCTGGTAGAATGTTTGTAACTGTGCTTAACATCTTGCATGTTTTATTTTGCCTAAAAATTGACGAAAGAGTGAGTTTGTTATTACATGTGATTGGAAATATTTTGCAGGAAATATATGAAGCAACATGTTCTATCAAGTTGTGAGACATCATGACTCAAAGTGGTTGTTAAACTTTAGTGGAAAGCAACATGTTAAGCAAAATTCATGCAACATGTGAGACATTATGCCTTGCTTTATTTACTTGCCACAAAAGGACGATTGAAGTATTTCTCGCACTTTTGGAGATTTGTTTCTGTTATGTCTAATCATAGATTTGATGGTTTATATGTGTTTTGGTTTTAGAAATATTTAATTTGAATGTATTTTAGCAAGATTGAATTTCGTACTCTCAAGAAATTCATATTTTTTCAAGATTTGTTTCAATCAATGTTTTCAATCAAACTAAAAACCCTATAGAGCTTTCTAGTTGGACTTTTTATTCTATTTAAGGGGTCGTACTCATTTGTGAAGAGTTAGACCTTTCACTACTAAGCTAGGTGTGTTTATTTATTATTCTATATTTGTTTTTTTTGTAATACTCTATTCATGGGACTTGTTTCTAACTTAGGAGAATAGAGTGTTTGAGTTGTATTATTGTTTCATCATTTATATAATTTTGTAACTATCCAAACACTAGGGAGAGTACTTGAGTGAAAGTAAGAGGTGTCTTAGATTCAGGGGAGCCTGGATTTAATTTCACATATTGTATTAGGAAAAAATGCATTGAACTGGGAAAGTTTAGATAATACCATATGTTGTATTCCTATGTTATTTAATTTTTACATTTATCCTTCCTGTTACGCATAATAATTTTCATACACATAGTTCTAACATTGTGTGTAACATCTTGATGTTAGTAGAATAAAATTCCAATTGGCATCACAGCAGACACCCTGTTCTAGTTGGGTGAGCTCCAGAGTTTTCTATACATTCTGTTTAAAATGGACAATGCTAAAGAAAGAGGATCTGTAAATTGACCTCATTGTCGTGCTTGGATAATTTTTTATCCTCATTTTTAACCGAACAAGAATTATGGAAGGAATTTTAAAAAAAGAAAACAATTTGTGTCTCCTCCCGAAACTACTTTCCAATTCATATTCCTCACCTCCAATACTCATGCCCATTTTATCATATTCCCCCCCTCAAGTAGGTTATTTGTGCTTAAGGTTCCAATGAGAAGCTTTAGGTGTTTTGCATTTGAAACAATGTTTTTAGGTTTAAAAGCTACCTTA